TCATTTCGCGAAGTAAGGCATTTGTTCATTATGCTAAATCCCATATCTGCACTTAGCACGTCTAGAGCACGATTCTATAAACATAAACAGCAAGGGGACCGAGACGCTTTCAACGGCGTACTTTCGCAACCACATTATTAATGCGTTAAATAAATTGTCATTTTGACTAAATGGATTTGGTAACAGGTTGTCGTTAACTTCACTGCCCTGTCAAATGCACTGGCACCATGTGCCAATAATTAATCGTGCAAGTAGAACCATTTACTATTTAGAAACAGACTACCACCACGTGAAAACAAAGCCCAGTCATTTGTCGAGTAACCGCTTCTTGTCCCCATTATGAGCCGGCTTACTATTTATGCTGATTAAGATTAATGCTCAAATGCGGGATATTAGACACAATTGTTTTTGATGCCGACTATTGCAGCCGACAATGCTTTTCAATTTTGTATGAGCTCGCAAATTGATTGTCTCGAAATAACGGGCTCTCCAGCTATTTTCGAATCCATCAAACTTTCGAGATATTAATTCGGTATTTCCAATTAAGACGGCGCCGGCGAATGTATTCAAGTGCATCTCTCTACTCGAGAGGCGCTTTGTTTATAGCGTTCGTCGGCGTGAAGTACGTTAGCAACGTTATCGTGGATCTCTAAAAACTGCACAATGGAACGTATCAAGTGAAAGTCACAAATGTACACGTTTAAGACAATTACTATAATAGTTGAATGTAACTGGTGATTTCGGTTTATTTAGGTCAAAGTACTTATGTACGGAAAAGAACACAATGGCAATTCTTGTGATTAATACTAGCGCCGTTTCGCTCTTAAAGTCAATAACGATTGCAGTAATACACAGTAGCTTTAAATAACTTAGATTTTCTGATCGTGCTACCTATCATGCTCACATAAAAGTCTAACGCTCACAGGTGCTATAGTTCCGTACGAGTTTGTACCATCTAAATATGAAGAAAGTGAGACAATCTATACTTTAATACGCTTTCCACACTGGTACACTATCTCCTGAATGATTAATTGTTTTTGATTTCCGTTACATTTATCATCAATGAGCCGCTATGTAATCGTCCAGCTCGACAGAGTGAAGAATTTCCAATCGCTTAATGAACCAAGCTTATGACATTCACACTATTGACACACTACGGACTCATTTTCATCATGTGAACATTTTTACACACAAAAGTATGTATAGAGGCTATAAATGGAAGCCGAGTTTTGAATTTCCCTTAATTACTTTCTTGATGCTATTTCACAGTATATTATGAGAAATATGTTCGGCGAATTCCGTGCATTTGAAACGAGATATTAAATACGATTCTTACTTACGTAAAAGTTTCGAGATTTATTTTCAAAGGCGATGAACATAGGGATCAGATTCCCTCTACATTCATTATACTAAGTAATGCGTTGCTCGCATATCCTTTGACAAAAGAGACAATTGGACGTTTTGTCAAAAGTTGATGACTGCTCTAAATATAATTCGGGAAATTTCCATTTCGTCCTAATTTTTAACAATCAAAGTAGTACACTTGCTGTTCTTTGTGCTATTAATGGTAGAATCAAGATAAGCTATCTTCTTGATAAGACGAAACCCATTTGCAGAAGTTGCCAAGCTTTTCAAACTTTGCAGAACTACATTAACGATCGGAAATATCGATAAAGAGGCAAATTAATTAAATAAAGTCTGGTTTCGCATGTTTCAGGTAAACTTATTTGACTTTGTTTAAAAGAACGTTAATTACTGATGACTTCATTGTAACAGGAGGTTCGTGTATGCCGCACTTGTTATTTTGCTTTAGCCTTGCTCAGTGTGTGATTCGCTTCACATACTGTAATTAAAAACTTGATCTGTTTACCTACCTAGGCCAGGTAATAATTTAAAATGTCTCATTCCTGTCGCTGTGGTTTCAGGAATCGATTAGATTAGCTAGAAACAGAGCAGGTAATTGAATCACTAATTCTACTATTTTGTAGTTAATAATTGTTATTAATTATACTTTGTTTGTAGTACTTTATTTGAAAGTTGTTTTTCAAAATTATGATACACTGAAAAGTCTCTGTACACCGAAAATTGGGTAGGTATGATTTTAAATTTTCTAAAGTACACTATTTTCGTTTTCAATAAAAGTGATCCGATATTTATGAAATTTTACATACTGTAATGGTGTGAAGTTTATAGAATTATCTGATCTAGGACCTCTGCAGGAATTCCTCAAATAAGAGATTTCCACCAAGTTTTGTCCCACATCATTACTCCTACTTCCTTTAACATATATAAGTGAAATCTTACCTGATGATATATCCCGATACCTGTACGGCCGTAAGGTCCACGCAAGGGAAACAATCCAGATCCCGTATTTCGTTTTCCGACACTCATGTTGTAACGATTGATCCTCCAAATTGAAATACCTTCGATTCGTACTCTCATTTGGTACTCTTACTCTCGCAATTTAACTTCTTTTCGCTCTAATGTAAGTTCGATATTCTTACGCCGCCGTCCAGGTTATTTACTTTGTAATCCACTAGTTTAGATGTAATATAAGTTGTCCCTGTAGTAAATTTGTTCCAAGTTTTATAGCTTTCTTATTACTTTATTTCGTTGTTTCCAGTGGCGGCGCGTAGTGGTGTGTCTTGGGGGTGCACAATTTAAAAATGGGGCCACGGGCAAAAAGCCGGAGGCGAAAATTTTTTGAGTGTCACCGCAACACGAAGTTTTTTGGGCCTATTAAATGGCATAAAAAAGCTTATTGATGAGATCTCTAAATACTCCAGGGTTTTTTGAATTTTCTCGTTTTGTCAATGGCTGCGGAGAGCAAGTTCCAAAGCACCACAAAATTTTATACGGTTTATAATTTTGGATAAAACATACCTGTTCTTTTTTACTTCCTCATTACGTTTTTCGATACTCAAACGGTATGCACTATTTAACTGTTGCCGTATATCTTGCTTACCTAATAAATTAAATCTCAATTTAACGGATATATGATGTGCCTTTGAAGATTGATATTTTTTAATTTTTTCGGATAAATGCACCAAGTCCTGTAACGCCATTCCATTCCGTCCATTCTGATGCCTCATCACCGAGCCCATCACCAAACAACAAACACGGAAAACAATAGACTATTGTTAAAGGTACAACCGCATAACCAGTCAGTTTTTTCATACATGTCTATTTTAAACGATCGTTTATAATCCCGACTTCCTTTATTGATTTTCGATATTTCCAAACTCGGTTTTGGGCGACCCGCATTTTTTATTTTAATTTGATCTTCTAATTTTAGTAAATTAAATTTAATAATTGTCTTTAAATAATGAACGGTAACGTCGCAACGTTACTTGTTAAAACCGAAACGATCAACAAGCCCTACTTCGTAGTCCGGCGAATACTGGTTCACAATGAGAGTGTGCTCTTGCTATACTTTACAACTTACACCTTCGCGGGGCGCACGGGGACAGGCGACGTAGCGTTTGAACGAATCAGAGATCGTAGCTAACCGTGCACTGCACGGGAAGGCGGAATGGGAATAATTCTTAATACACGTTCAGCGGTGTGTCAGTGTACCCGTTAAGGTTTTGCATTTCAGATAAGATAAGTGAACTATTTTTATTGCGAGATACGAACGTGCAAGAATGTTAAATACATAAATAGAATTGTTATTGTTTTCGTTTTTTTAAAATGATTTTTGGGGGTGCACGTGCTCATGTGCACTTATTGAGAAACCGCCACTGGTTGTTTCGCAGTTAGAGACTATCCGAGTGTTGAAGGTTTCTTTTACCTATTTCATTCCCTTGCCGCTAGAGTTCATGCTTTGTACTTTTCTGCGCTGAATTCTAAGTATTGTGCGCAGTTTTATTTCTTTTCCCTTTAGTGAAGTTTCTGCTTTTGAATTGCAAGTTTTTCTTTGGTACGCCATTACTATTACTGACTTACCTGCTTAAGGGAATATTGTTTTAGCTTTACCCTTTATCTTTGAAGTGATTTCTCTTTATTCTTATGTCTGTGGGTGTGCTCCATTGAATCGTTTTACGAATCTGCATATAAATAGTACGAAGTATGTCAGACTATTACGCGCCAGTTTCTCTTAGTACGTATATTTTTTTAGGGCATAATCTTCATTCAACCCCCAAGTTTAACTTTCCTCAAAATATTTTTTTTACGTTCTCATTGTTCTTTCTGTTGGATTACCTTTTACGTTTATCTAATTGGATATTACCTATAACCTATGAAGTACGCGAATGACATCGCATTTTATTGAGACCCGCCATTTTAGGAAGATTGACGTACGCTATAAATGAGTGTACTTGCACTAATCACATGTGAGCTACTGCAGCACAGCCCCTCAATACTAATTCAACAATCACCACTAAACTTGGATTTAGTGCAGCAGCCGGCTAACTCTAAACTATAGAGTCGTGAAGGATCGAAATCCTGCCATGTACAATTGCTACTTTCAAACTCAAAAATTATAGTAGGGCGCCAGATCAAGCCAAAGCATGGAACCCTCTTGATCAAGGAGGATAGGCTCTTCCAAGTAAAATGTATGAACATGAATAAAACTCGTAGATAATTGTGGCAAGAGAAACAGAATATATTTATATTCAAATAAATGACGTTAATGGACAGGCAAATTATACGCAACGAAATGGTATTAATGGTGTGAAGCCCTGATATCTGATTGAACATTAATTAGGAGGTTTCATTCGTTACCACCATGTTATAAACAGTGGCGTGAGTGCCTTAGTTCTGACGTTAGATATACGGGTCCTGGAATTGCTAGCTAGCCCCGCACCCTGAGTATATTACAAGTATGTCCAATGGAGGTTTACCCAAGTTAACCACCAATATCAATTCAACGAATTCCCCTTTACAAGTACGCAATGGAAATGAGGTAAGTATTTGTAATTACATTAAATCATACACAGAACTGGTGAATTATTAGGTACATTTGTTTTTTTTTTAGGTTCAACACCCACGGTATGAACGGGTCCAACATATGCCACAAATAAATTAAAGTAGGGTTTAAACATATTAATTATTTCTAAATAGTGATACGACCTTTACTTTCGCCGCAAGGAATGGTAATAGTAGATAAGGATTGGTTTATCAGACCTGCTGGTTTGTAGTGCCGTTGCCCATGACCTTAACCTTAGGTAAAGCCGGGACCGGTGTCTGAGGAAAAGCTAAAAAAAGACGACTTCTACTGCATGCCAAAATGAAGAGGTAACCCTTACCTAGATGTTATAGCTTTATCATTAATTCCCTTAGCCAAAGATGCCTATTACGATAACTCTCACGAATCGTACCAAACTATAAATTAATGGTGGTACTCTCAAAGATATTTCGATTAATTACCTTACCTTATAACTATAGTTCTAACGTCCTAACAAGCCTATTTAATATGTACAAGTAATTAAATTCCTAGCATTGTATCTGAAACTGATAATTTTAATTTTAGCCAATAAACGAGATAGTAAAAATTACCTTCGAGGAGGATCACTTCTGATCTGAATAATCAAACTACTGAGCCCGGTCAACACGCCAACAACTCTACTTCAGTCGGAAAACAGTAGCAAAATATGGGAGCTAGTAGACAGATCCTGAATATATATCAGTAAATTCTACAATTTATTATTTTAGCTCTAACTAGCCACCCAAAAGCTAATCACTCTCTCTCTCGATTTTCTACCAAAAATACCTTGCCTTACCCAAAATTATCACCCAAGGAATGTGACCTTCCAGATAACAAAATTTCCAAAACTAATATTATATACCTGCCTAAATATATGCAACTTACATTGCGCCTATCTAACTACCCTTAAACTATCCTAGATGCTATTTTCAATTGCTACACTACATACATGGGATTGGGTTACCTACACTGCAAGTATTTGCAAAACCTTGTACTTGTAAATTGCTCGGTTATACCTGATACTACGTACTTTGTTTTTGTCGTTATCAAAGATTTGATTTTACCGAGACTTTATCGAGAGCCGCGTCACGTTCAGTTTTTATACAGATTTTGTAAGAATAATCCGTGGTCGAACCAAATTTTGTTTTTGCTAATGTAAAGTCATTAAAATTATTGATTCTTATTGAGTATTAATTACGGCTTTAGTATACGAGTTACCTGATCAGTGTCAGACGTCAGAATTGCTATTTCGCAATATTTTGTGCCGCGTTATTCACTACCCCTTTTATTTGTTTGTTATATTGTTTTCTGTTACAGTAAAGGCTGAACGCGCCTTTTTGAGCTTACAAGGATACGACCCGAAGTTCAAAGGTAATTTCTATTTTTCGTCGACTCCTTGATATAATATTTGATTACATACTGGTTACAATCTAATTGTAATTACTACATATGTTTGACATTCATTTAACGATTATAGCTACGTTGTTTTCTGAAGCCTGTGGTGATATTAGTATTTTCTCTGACTGCGCATTAATCCCCTTGATACTAAAAATTAACGTAAATTCAAATATTAACGTCGCGGATCCATATATTGCAGTGCCCTTTTAGTCATATTTTTGAGATCATTTATTAAGTCAGAAGGATCTCTTAGTCTGCCTTGTTTTTGGTAAGTATGCTCTCCTCCCTTTAGGAAGTGAATAAAGATTAAGTGGCGCCTATCCAGTTTACTATTACTACACATTTCCCTTTTCTTTATTTTTCCTAGTGTATAAGAACCTCGATATTTACCCCGACCGATTTCTTTACCTGAGCTCACCGTGTGCTTATATCAAGGGCACACATGCGGCAGTTCATGTGACCTGAAAACGTCTGTACCACGGAAGTGCCACCCATACGATGCATACTGTAATGGAACTGAATTTACCCGCTAAATTTCGATTTAAATATTCCCTAATCCGTCCCAGCCGCCACGAAATAATTCAAGATTGCGCTTTGTTTGGTTTCCGTCGGACATGTGTTTTTTTACTTCTCTACCCTACATTGAACTGGGCCATAACCTACAATAAAAGTGTCAAATATAACGCTATACGAGGGGATTTAATGATCCCTATCGACCCGACGACTCAGAGCACGTCGATATTAACAATTTTCGTCTACAATTTTCCTAAAAGGGGAAATTTAGCCAGGCGTATGTGTGCTTTAGTGAAATGCAGTCGTAATTTGATTTTTCGAATAGATACTGTGGTTGTTTCGATTGTAATTACTCCATCTAGTAATTTTATGATAGTGTTAGATTATTTGCCAAATTAACGACATTCCCGTACAGCCTGGGCATTGTCATTTATAGCGCATTACCTACAAATCCAAATTGCTCTTTTATAATTATGCTGATCATACTTTGAATTAAATGCAAGATTCCATTCTGTTTTCTACGTAAATATGTTGGTTTTCCATTCACAGTATCCCTTTGTTCTTAGTGCTGGTTTTACCTACCAACACCCAATATGAATTTCTGACCGATTTACATGTTTTTATTTATATTTAGATATAGTATGTTCTTTTAGGGGTGATATTCAATAAGAGTATACGGAATTAAACGATGTAATAAATATTATACCGATTCGTTTACGGTGCTGTATTTGAAAATATCGATACTACATTCTTAATTTATAATTGAATTTCTTGCAGCACATTTCCTTTACTTGCATGAATATGTTACTGTTTATTTACAGGGTGCAAGTGTGTACGTTCGGGCGTTGATTGTGGCACTTGGCACTGAGAATTAATTAAAATGACATGTTTCTACAGTCAGTCATTTTCATTGATTGGTATCATTGAAATAAAAGGCTAAGGAAGGAAGGTTATATACCTATAACCTTAGACAAGGAAATAAAATTAGGCTTCACAATATGCCGACTTTGATAATTAATTGACATTTACAGTAAAGTGAAACATTATGGTTAGTTGTAAATCGTGTAATAGGTATAACAAAGTCAAAAGCTACAGAAGAAACGAAATTTACATTTCATAGGTGGTAACAATGTTATATTTCTTAAAAAGGTCTTCTTTTACGACACTTAAGTTCATTTTGCAGGTTGTGATACAGATCCATTGCCGTAACGATAGTCTGTAAAACAACATTTTGAAATACATATACTTTTCAAATTTTCTTTAGACAGTAAATGGCAAGATAGATAGATTTCGTTTATAGGAAGTGATGAATAAAAATAAATAATTGTGTAATTTCAGTACTACCCGCCAAAAAATTAAATGATGTACGCCACTGCGCGTATGAACGGTTGCCATATTGAGAAGCCTAATAGGATCCTAGCTAATAATACATAAGCCCCTTCCTTATATTACCTAGTTTTTTATTTCAATGATTAGTATCTACTGCTATTGATACAATAAACAAAACAAAATCTCCATGAATCCATGCTCTACTATTTAAAAACTGTAAAAAATAAGGTTTTTATTTTTGGATCATGGCTAAAATAAAAAAATGTAGGTCGTGCTTGTGATACATCAATGAAAAGGAAAAGGAATGCAAAAAAATCAGTTTATGATATTCAGGGTGTTGCATTTAAAAATGTAATTGCTAGTAATTGTAAGTTTTCTATTTTTCCTGGTGACCACATATGTACTTGACGCCCATTTGGAAGTTGCAGATCCCAGTCAAACCGTTTGAAATAATCCTCCACTGTCAGCTCTTCGTTAGACCGGTATTTACTCGTGGAAAATGCAGGCGGTTTGATTGAAACTGGTGCATTCTGCTTTATCCCAGGTGGCCTCTAGAAATTCGGGAGAAAGGTCGTCGTGTCACGTGCTGTTTGAAATCCCACTTCTGATCACTTTTGAATTTTGAACTTTTCTTTTAAATCTCTCTATTTTACTTTCTAACTACTTCAGCCACACTCATAACTGACAAATAGATAAAAACAACCAATCATAACGATGCATCCTCATAACTACGCCAACTGCAAGTTCAAATTTGAAAAGGGCGACATATTTTCTTGCCAAGCACCAGACGGTCCTATTCTGTACAGTTCAAAATTTAAATATAATGTAGTGCCGATACAAAAAGATACAGAAAAATCATATCAAATTACCACTTCTTGGCACATCAACATTTTAGGATGTGGAGCTTGTTTAAGAAAAATTAAAGAGTCTGAGAAAACAAAAAGCTGTATTTTTTATAATAGAGAGCTACACATTTCAAGCTACACGTATTAGAAACGTGTTTTTTTTTCTATCTACAAACTTACATAATCCCATAATATGTAATGGTTCTCTAACCCTCAGCTTATTCTTTACCAAGCTCAATAAATTCTGCAAAGAGACAGTTGACCATCAAAAGTACACTATCGGCAGGGCTGTTCCCAACTGCCTTAGGCCCGCACTCATTCACCAACTTTTTTGCCAACTCCTTCCTATTTTGTCTATGGGGAGAGTCAGGTTTGGTAATGAATTGTAACATGTAATCCGTCGAAAAATCCTCCCACCCCGAGTACGATAACTTTAAACTGTCATCTACGAGCTTCGTTTCGCCGGCCCAGCACATGACGAATTCGTCGAACTTAGCATCGCCTTTGTTGACAGTAAACGGTGGAGTGATGTGGCTGTCTACGTATGCTTTATCTACACCAAATCTTTCCATACAAATACGATCTTCTTTCGTGTAGAAGTGTTCTTCAACGGAGCGGACCTAAAATGGAAGGTTGTGCACAGCGATGACGAGTAAAAGGTTTACTCACCTGCGAAAATGCAAGAATAATGAAGACACCGTGTAGAAATGTTACCATGATGAGAATCCTGTTTTGACTGATTTGGATTTGGTAATTTATATACCGGATTGTGATTTTTAACATTTGTACATGTATAAACAGTGAAGGTCACGTTTGATAACCATTATCCATGGAGAAATCGGTCGTGATTGATTTCTTTCAAGAAGTAATGTAATACTTAGTTTCCTAATTATTTCAAACCCAATAGTGTTGCGAAACTTTTCCTATAATAACTAGTCAACAGATGAAAAACATGTCTTCAGTTATGACGAAATTTATTTATCTTCATCACTATTTGTCATAGATGCTACGGTACCTTGATGCGTGCATTAATTGGAAATTCAATAACCGAATTGTGCTTTTTCTATTAGATGCAGGAGATCCGCCTGGTCGCAGACCTGGTCGAGATCTGCCATTTTCAGTTGCGTAACATACAATTGGTTTGAGTCACACACGCATAATGCGTATGAGCTCACTTGCAATAAAACAGTTGCGTGATCAGTCAATCTTTGGCCGTGAGGAAAACAAGTCATCTCAGAAAGGAGAAGGTGGGTGATGATTTTTTTTATTTTAAGCATTGTTTGGAATACCTGGTATCTGAGCTGGAATGTCGCGAAACATGTTTAATTATGATTAATAAATATTACTATTACAACATTGTTAAAGTACTGGAATACCTACAACCACACTACATGCATTAGTGCCTATAAGTATGTAAATCCTCGAACGCGTTTCAAGGCTGTCATCATTAGCGAACAACTGAACTTGTACAAGATACATCAGATACTTACATAAGTACTAGTAGGTATATAACGATTGAACTTTTCTTTCACAGAATTCGAAAACGATGGAGATTCATCCAATCAGTTTAAAGTAGGCCTCGCAACACCAAGAAGAAGTGGGGATATTTTTATCCAACTTAGCAGAAACGTTTAGCTACTAAAACGTAGCAATTGATTGAATTTTAAAAAAGGGCGAAATATCAAACATAACTTTTATTAATAATGGGCCCTCCACTATTGATTACACACTCCCCCATTCTTCGTGGCGTCGCATAAACGGCTAGATAGCTTAGGCTTGTAAAAAAAAGGCTTAAAGGCCTGAGATCTTCCACAGCGGTTGATTCGTTCTGGGCATATAGTCTTCGGTACATCTTTACAACTTACCATTAGTTGAGCGCCACCCATTTTATTCAACTTAATAACTCTCCCTGTATAAAAAAAACTAAGGAAAAGGCAAAGAAGGTTGCAATTTAAATTAACAAAAGAAATACTGCTTTATTCCAAATATCGAATTTTCAGATGTCAGAAATTACGATTAATGTTGATTTAAAATTTCTATATATTAAATTACTCGTTACACTCCCGATTCGACAAAGATAGAATATAAATTAAAGTGATCACAAATTCGCCCAAATGTTCTCAAATATAAACGTAATAATGAGGGTTCAAAAACTGAGTTCAATAATGACCGAACTATAATTAGTCAAGCTGAATTTCACTCAAACACAAATAAATAATAATATGAAATCTCATCCGCCAAGTTTGCATCAATATCGAAAGCACAAGCGACAGTAGACATAACAGGTCTTACCTGACACCAGAGGCGGTCTTGTGCCATTTTTTGCCGTTGTTCTACTACCAACTGCGGTGCTAGCTGTGGATAACATATTTTGCACCATTGCCTGTGCCAACCACCAAAATCCCGATGAAGAGGAAGTAGACGACGCTCATGGGGAGGAATTGTACGTATATCTGAATTGGACATTATCTTCGCACACGAAATTTCTTCATTTTTGTTGTAGGTAAGGTCGAACTGTCGAAGCATAAACACCATACATGCCAATGATTCTTGATGGAAATTTAATTCCCTACAACCATCCCCTTGTACGTTAAAATGGAACAGGTAATGAGGTAGAGAACAAGTTCGATCGTAAACGTGAATTTTGCTCACTTTCAAGAACCCATTGCTGGAAAGCGGACGACTGTGGATGCGATCTGAAAACTCCTATAACCCGGGAGTGCCACCCATACGATAAATAAATAAATACATAAATAAATAAATAATGAATACGCATGCCTCTAGTGGTGTGAAGTGCCACTCATTTTTGAGAATAGTGGGTGACCTAGGGAGGGGGTGTTAGAACTTCCTAATTAAATGCCTCAACGAATGAAACTGTTTCCTACCCACTACACCCCTTCTCTCTTACCCCTTATCAAAATCGGCAATTGCGGGAATTTCGTCCTTCACGGTACGTACTGAAAGGTCTCAACAACAAAAATTAATTTCTACTAACCACAGTTATCCTTCTCGACCCCTTCTCGCGATCAGTTAAAATTTCTCACATACCCAAGTCTTGGAGGAGGGCAGTGGCGGCTCGTAAGCTGCGTAGAAGGTAGTGCCAAATTGTGTCCCCCTCCCCATTATTTTAATAGTTACAAATTTTTATTTTCATATTATTCCAGTTATTTAGATTTTGAGTATAATTCGAATATTTATAATGCAAGTGACAGAAACAAATCTAGCCCCTTTAATTTCTTTGGAGACTTGTTTCATGATAAGTATACTGTAACGTGCTCTTCGGCGCGACAACTCAGGGGGTAGGGGTGGGTTACAACAAACTAATGACATATACAATATATACAGGGCGCCACGCCGTTTGGGACCAATAAACGGAGTAACGGCGAATCTCCGGGGAAGACTAAATCAAACAACTATTCGGAAGACACTCGGATACGTTAGCATATATATATTTAATTACCAAACATGCGATGGACGACTACAATATAATATAACAAATCCTGTGATAGCTTACAGACTAACATACAATACAAACACCCTCGCATCCACGCAACCACTCAGCAACGCTCACCCTTATGGTCAGATGGTAGGTATGGTAGAGATGAGATGGTTCCGCTTCCGGTGAGTATCTATTGTGATTACAGATGAACTAGATCCTATGTTGGGTTGCAGGTGGTGCAGCAGGTACAGGCAAGACGGCCAGGAGCTAGCAAATAATCCCAGTACTCAGTCACGTTGATGGCAGCGTTCGTAAGCCGATGGAGTGGCTGATTTAAACGGTTACCCAATTTCCAACCGTAATAATGAGGTATCCCGTAAACCGGAGTCTCTATGAGACTCCATCCCCACAAATCCGAGCCCAATCCTTTCCAGTTTGTGAGGAATGTCAATAATACAGCTATCCGTCTAATATAGGTAATTGCGACTAAATTACTGCTTACTTAATTGCTTGGTGAACGCAATTACACTTTAAATACGACGTGCTTGAGTAGACCTCACGTTCAAATAAAATAATCAAAAATGTGTATGCTTTACAATGCCCGCCTGCACTTGGCGATAAGCAATTTAGTTTAGCGAAGTTTTCTTTATGTACATACAGGCTGTTCCACAATACGCACACCAAATCTTAATTAATAACGTCACAATACTTCAAGCATGCATTCCAGTAATTCATTTTGTGTTGTTTTAGATGAGAATTAGCGGATTTTTTTTGACAAAAAATCGTATGGAAAGTGTTACTTTTTTAACGATTTGTACTATCTGTTTCCATGGCGTTTAGTCCGATCTATAAACAATAGCAACATTTTATTTGCCGTTGATGAGGCCGAAGTATCATTTTCAATAATAGTTGTACAAATAACTATTCAAATCTTTATCTAAACAAGTACTGAAATTTATTAATTCTCTCAATACCTACTCCTTTATTTTCGGATTTATCGCTATTGTCGAGTTCAAACACATTTCGTTTTTTAACAATATTTAAGTCCGGTAACGGCCTGCTTAATTGCTTTATTTAAAGTCTATCTTCCAGAGAATGCATGGAAAAAGATTTATTTAAATGATTTTTTAATTTGTGTATTTTACGTAACAATTAATCCGGGAAGTATAATCTTACACAGAAGTAAAAAAAATTGTTTGACTTATCACGACTGAAACAAGGAAAACGGCGCAACGCATAGTAATAATACAGGTTCACATTATTCAATTGTGCTTATGAGCCAAACTTCTGATGGCTCAAGTTGTACGTATAAAACGCTACTTCGGTTTCGCTCCTCCCACCCCTCTACTCCCCGCGGAAGTCCACACTTGTAGGAAAATACGAGCCAGTTTCAGTTTGGCACGGCTCGGCCGTATGCGAAGTCCACGAATAAGCACGAATGAATTCTTCTTGGTACCTAATTTATCAAATCATTTACTTTTTTGTTTTAAGTTTTAAAACACAATTATGTACTCTAGTGAGCACAATTAATAATAGTTAATTATTTATATTTTAAGAATTGATAATTAGCAGGTTCCTTGAGGTGGTGCCATGGCTCCTTGGCTCTTTATAGAGAGCCGCCCCTGGAGGAGGGTAAGTACTCACAAAGAGCGATTGGGACGTCTGTTCATTTAAAAAACAATGTGGACTCTACATCTACGTGTTTGGTCCAGACCCCTGAATTAATGTCGGGTTATTAATTTATTATTAGTAATTTTTTTTCCTAAATTATTTAATTCTTCTGTTGGGCTCTTTACGCGTAAACACAAAACGATTATTGCGTTTCTAGTTGTATCCAAGTGGTTTGTTTTTGTTTTAAAAAAGTAATTCCTAGAATTGTTAAATATAGGGTAATTTATCATTTATTTTGTTACCAATTTTGCATTTAAGAGACAGTTCAGTTTGAATTTATGGGCAGTTTGATTACTTTTGTTAAAAGGCTGACGTAATTTACTAGCAATAAAAATGTATTTAATGGGTTAAAACCGTGTGACAAAAAGCATTATTGAGATAAGATAATTCAGTGTAAAACTCCGGGATTCAGGTATGTCCTGAGAAAATTTTAATAAGAGGGCTAGCTAGGATTAAGGTTTTTTGTGTATGGTTCATTTTGATCGCGCCATTGCGTACAGCATAGTTATTTGTTCTCCCAACGTGATGGTGCATTGTATTTATTTTTTTAATGCAAATTTTAGGGTCACAGCAATATACCTATACCACTGTAGAGAAAATCACACAAATGATTTTTTGTTTAAACAATATAGCTTTTAAAAGATTTCTGATTTTAAATAACATAAAAAACAAAGGTTTTAAAAAACTCACCAAAATCGGAGCTGTTTCTAAGAACTTCCACAGAAAAACCTTCATTGACACGACTAATTTTAACTTTCTCATGAATCTAAATTGGAATGTATCAGGGAATTTGTGCTAGTTTAGGGTAGTTGTGAGTTTATTGCGGCTATTAGTTAAAGTTAAGATTGGCCCTTAAATTTGGGTTCTGTAGGAACCAAACCATTTAGCTGCAGCTGTCAGTGGGACCATTGGCCCCAAACATTGGTTCTATAAACCGCAGGCCATTTCAACCCCTAATAGGTACCAGTTCGCGTTTCCGTAACCAATCGGTCCGCAGTACTGCCACTGATTCGTTCGCTCGTAATAAAACGAAAATTAAGAGCTCAGTCAACGAAAAATATGTGGGTATACTCCGCCACATATGGCCTCACACTTTTCGTGAAATATAGATGGCATACAAAGCCAATGAAATCTGGCCTAAAAGATGGAGGGTCGGTGATGTAGTTGCGGTTGATTCGGACCGTTGGGTTCAGCTGTAGAGGTGGAAGTAGTGCAGAAAATGCTTAGTAGGCATCCACCTAAATAAGTGTCGGAAAAGTCGAAATCATTGTAGAAGAAACCTAATAACCCGGTTTCAAGGACCCAGGTGTTTTGCTATCACCATAATTAAGAAACGCGTAGCATTCGGTGGTATTGTCATCAGACTGTCTTTGCTTATATCGGATTTATGACTCAGTGGTAAGAACATTGGGTTATAAATCCGGAGGTCGGGTGTTCGAACCTGGGTTGAGGTGAATTTTTCATCTGTGGCGGAGATGGAACTACCTTAGACCAGTTCCGAGCATTCTACCGGCTACTCCGAATTAGGTTTTCCTGCAGTTTTCCTAATTCGTAAGGTAAATATCGGAGTAGTATAGACCAACTTAAGACCTTCTGCAGAGGCACCTCTAAATAGCATTATGCGGGTCACTCTGTAATTGGGCGCATGCCTGTTGAGGGCCCAAAAAACAAGAGAGGGATAATAAATATATGAGAGTATATACAGCTTATGCTTAAATTAAGGCACGAAATAAGCCAGTGTTGGTAAATCATAAACGAGAGATCTAGTAAAACAGTTGTTTTTAAAGTAAAAAGCTGAAAGGCGATTCAAGGAAATGGTTTCTATTCGCAGGTCTCTATATGTATAAAATATGGTAAGTAAAGCAAATAAACCAAAGAAATATACCTACTTTAAGAAAAATCCTGGTCACAGCAATAAAACTGTAATGGTCTAAAAAAATTTAATTGTTGTACTTTGACTCAGTCTATATTTGTGTGTGTAACTTCATTTGTCAAACAAGTAATACCAATTAAACAGTCCATTATTTATTAATACGCCTGGTATGATAAAGCTCGTTAAGGGATTGCATCCATACTGTCTTCTGCTTCTTAGATCTAAAAGTTTGTAAAGACTTTACGTGAGAACTGGGATTTATCTCGCAATAAGTACTGTAAGATTAGTAGGGTAAACACGGTTAAGCTCCTTATAATGGATGTCCCAACGTGTGATATTAAAACAGAGGGTGGGAAAATTGCCAAGCGTGTACCTATTGTCTATTTTTCCACGAAAACGAACAACTATACGATTTCGAGAAATTTATGTGTCAGTACTAATCAGAGTGATATAGAAGAAATTGCTTTCTGTATTGATATTATATCACGGAAATGAGTTATATTCTCAGAGTTGTGAAGGAAATAAATATTAAATTGGAATTGTTTCGAGCCAAAAGCCCGATCACGTTGCATATATATTTTTTTTGGCCAACCCGAGTCGTTCTCCTTTGTGCTTTCAATCAGTTGAATGCGTGTGTAAATTTGCGAGTTAGAAAGTCGGTCACGTAATACCTTAGATTTCGATTTTTCCTTCGTTCTGTGTATATACGACGGACTTTATTAAACGTACAAGGGAACCGATAGCGG